GAATGCTATAATGAGAAAGTATAAGTTTCCGATTTTAGCCAGATCAATGACTCAATTATAAAAAATATTCAAAAATTCAACGAATAATTTGATTGAGCTGGCGATCACATAGGTCGGTAGAGGGGTTACGAAGCTTTAAAATTCAATGAAACCGATTGCAAGAGCATAAACAGTCGACCTTAAAAATCCGAGTTAAATTTGGAAACCGATTTTGAGTATCAAAAATTAAGGTTAAGCTTGGCATTGGATATTTTCAAATATATTAAAAATACAAATTAGCCCGAATATGCAATAAAAAGAACGGCATTCCATTTAAAAAAGGTAAGTTTGGTATATCGCTTCAATTTGAGACACCCTGTATCTATTGGTACTATCTTAAAATAAATCAGAAGTTTATATCTACAACTTTTGTATGTAACATTTTGTTCTAAATTTCCGATTAGATGTTAAAACGGGGTGGATAAAGTTCAATCAATAACCCTGTACTTTCTTCCATGCTGTATGCTACGCTGACGAGGCGGCTCTTATTGCAGATTCCTAAGACAAGCTCCAAAGATTACTCAATTCTTTCAACACCAAATCAAAAGAACTAAATATGCTCATCAACACTGAGAAGACTGAGAAGACTGAATGTTTAGTAATATCAATGAAACGGATAAGCTGCAAGCTGCAAATCGACTCCCAGATCGTCTAATAAGGAAACTATTTCAAATATTGGGGAGCAGATAACAAATACCTACATACGGAAAGCAAAGTAAAGATATATAAAACGGCAGTAAAACGTATAATAACATAGATACAAGCAGCAGAAACAAGACCAGATACAAGCAGAACACTACAAATGATGAGAACAGTTGAAATGAAGACCTTAAGGAGCATACAAGGCAAAACTCTATACGATAGGGTACGTGAGGACATCAGAATGCAATGCGGTATACTGGACATAGGAAGATGAGTGATACAGAGAAAAACAGACTCGTCAAAAACGCAAAAATTAACAATTCAGTAGGAAGGAGACCACACGGAAGAGCGCCCAAGCGCTGGGATGAATGGAGAATGCTGGACCTCATCCTCCGGGAAGGACGTGTTGGCAATGAACAGACAAAATCCTACTATATACAGGGTGGCCATTTTCTGAATATTTGTATGGGTAACTTCTACATTTTTAAGATAGAAAATCCGTTAAATGGCGAAATTGGGCAGAAATCGATTGCCTATTCATTACCGTTTTCAAAATTTAGGTACCCGACTTGGTTCCTGAAATATCCCGAAAATACAAGAAATCAACACTTTCTTAATTATCATTTATTACGTAAACTGCTTAACATAGAAAAAAAGTTAACACTTTTTGCGTATGAATCCAATAAACTAGTACTCGTTATCATAGTCAACTTGATTTACGAGATAAAAAATAAACTTATGGTTTTTTAGATGGTAATCATAGTTGGCTCTGGGCCTTTTAAAATACTTATTTTTTTCTGAATTTAACGATATAACTGTTTGTATGTTTTTCTCCTTTTGTTGGCGTAAAACTTCAAAAGAAGATAAAAAATGTGTAGTAGGCTATGGAAACAAGAACTATATTATCAGCACAAAACAATAATGAATCGTTTAAATTTTGCATCGGCATTTTTTGGCATCTTCACATTCAGCTCGTGAGTTGTGTGAAGATGCACTATCACGTTGAAAATATGCCAATTTTCGATACGATGCGAACGGAAAACTATTCAACATGTCTTCAAGTTCATTTGGTAAAAAGTGTAAATATCTTTCCGTATTTAAATTGTGATTATAAAATAATGGACCAATAATTTTATCACTAAAAATGCCTCACCACATTCACAAAAAAAACACGTTGATATCGCCTATTTTCAATTAGATGATGATTTTCATTAGCCCAGTAAACATGATTGTGTCTGTTAATTATTTCATGTTTGTTTTGTGCTTTGTGTGATAATATAGTTCTTGTTTCCATAGCCCACTACACATTTTTTATCTTTTTTTGAAGTTTTACGCCAACAAAAGGAGAAAAACTTACAAACAGTTATATCTTTAAATTCAGAAAAAAATAAAGATTTTAAAAGTCCCACAGCCAACTATGATTACCATTTAAAAAAACATACGTTTATTTTTCATCTCGTAAATCAAGTTGACTATGACAACGAGTGCTAGTTTATTGAATTCAACGCAAAATGTTCTACCAAAGACAATTGTAACTTTTTTTCTATTTTAAGCAGTTTACGAATTATATGATAATTAAAAAAGTGTTGATTTCTTGTCTTTTCAGGATATTCCAGGAACCAAGTCGGGTACCTAAATTTTGAAAACGGTAATGAATAGGCAATCGAATTCTGCCCAATTTTGCCCATTTAACGGATTCTCTATCTTTAAAAATGTAGAAGTTACCCATACAAAGGTTCAGAAAATGGCTACCCTGTATATCCATATTAGAAAGAAAAATACTTACTAAACGCACAAACTCCTGGAACCGGAATAAAGGCATATTCCGGTTTAAGAAAATAAGTTTCTGAGTTGAAGAAACAATCTGGCGAAGAACGCACAGTCTTTATCACAAGCAATTTCAAGTTTCTGGTGTATTAACTTCTCTTCATCAATCTGGGCCCTGATGACCCTTCGTTGCCAAACTTTTGGAATTTGGACACCCTGTATAACGTACATCAATGTTAGCTGAACTTTACTGCCATTTAATTTGTAAAAAGGTTATTTGTTAATGCGAACTCATCAACATCTGAATACTTGAGCCAGCCATTATCTTTACATAAATATGCCGGACATATTCTATGTTTGTGGTTCCAACAGGTTGCTTTTCACATATTTAGCAAATAGATGCTTTGCATTGTGTATAAACTAAATTAGCTTTATGTATGCGTTTCAATGGCACCAAAGAGCAAAACACCATAACTTTCGATCTAAAGGTTAGTAGGCGTATTGTCGCAATCGCTATGTTCGCAATATGCATATCCAACAATTATGTATGCTGTATGCAGATACTTTGTTCTTAGGCAAACTTAGAAAAAACCGTTAATAGGAGTGCGCAATTCAGCAGGTTTTTATGAACAATCAAACGGTAAAATGTTTAAGAAAAAAAGCGATTGTGGAGGAAAACTGTTTAAGCTACTGTTTGACGAAATGAATCACTGAAACATTAATGTGTAATTAGTTCCTTTTTGAATCATGTTTCGAATTGGAAAACCCCCAACAGCCATTTGTATGCTTGAAGCCTAGCAATAACGACACGAGTTTTTACGTCCTTGCACAGTGCATTTTTATATGATATTTATTAGAGGATTTTTCCTACTGGTTTGCACTCCATGACTCAGGCAAAGCTGCTTATAGTAACACTGGGTTTGTGCAAAAATCAAAATCGAACGCGGTTCGTGATTGAACGAAAGAGCGTTGGTGACTATTGCTAGAACCGTTGTAAAATATCCAATGACGTGTCGAATAAATAACAAAAAAGAAATAATGTTTATGAATGGAGTCTGTACAAGCGGTTGAAGGACGTCCGCTCGCATATACCACTTTCCATATTGAGCTTTTGCCATACGGTTTCGTATTGAAATATGCAGGAAAAAGGCGCTTAAAACAACGAAGAATGGGCGTAAGAATAATTTCATAGCTAAGAACAGTCGGGTTTTTATTAGACGAGGATTAACGTTTGTTCATACAACAATAATGGATGTCTTTTAAGTTTAAAATTTTTAATTTAATTTAAATCAATCACAGCTTTTTCTTGAGGCGTTGTGCAATGCATATAGTGTTGAAAAACAACAATAAATAATAATAATACAGCTTGCATTAAGCTATTCGATTTCCTCACTATTCGAAAGCGTAAAACTCAGTCGACCTCAACTAGGAACGCTTAAGGTCGCAAGTTATAGACTAAATAAGAAAAAACTCCCACAATCTCAGTATATCTGGGTGTGTGTCTGGTCGACAAATTACAAAGCGGAAGTGATTTTTCCATGCAATAAACAAGAAAGACTAGTGAGGTCGTAATTAAGCTGCTGAACCTGCCTTGTTGAGAAAACTATGGTTTAATGAAGCTAAAAGTGCAAAAAATCGCAGTCAGATTTTAGGTCCAATTTTCCATAATTAATAACCATGACTCAGGTTTTTTTCCCGAAACCACTTGGTCATATTGATAGAATATTTTTTCGTTGGTTCAACAGCTTTATCCTTAAGTTTCAATGACAAAGCCGCTGAAAACGTGTTGTCCTTCCGTACCCTCTCTAATGGTTCCTTTATTTGAAAACTGGTTCTTATAAGCGATTTCCGCTGGAAGATTGTGAACGAAGATCAACCATTCATTAGACTCGAATATGACTAAAACATTCAGCCGAAATTGTAGACGAAGAGCTTTTAATAGATTTCTGAGTAAATTATAGCCTTGGGTAATTAATGTTTGCAAAGGTTTTTGAGACATGAACAGGAAAACAGTCAAAGCAAAAAACGCGAATATTCATGAAATTCTTCAGGAAGCAATTACAACCTACATCCATATAGATCAATTATTGCCTAGTAATGAAGCATCAATATGAATATCTTCGCGCTAATAATAAATCAAACGGTAATGTAACGTAATTATTATTAATAATAACAACTCAAATGGAACATGCAGTTAAATGGCAGTAGTTCAAGGCAGGTAAGGATGTGGGAATTATCATTTAAAAATGTGTTTTTTTTTTGCTTTTGAATACTTTGCAATCTTCCTGGGTTTGGAGGCTGTTGTTCGCATAAAAAATCCAACGCAATTCACACTGAAGCGGCAGTTTACATTAATGGAAAAAAAACAGTATATAACGGCCGCTAATTGGAACCAACGTCAGGTTGTATGAGAAAGCGGTCAACAACGCGTACCCGAAAAAAAGAAGCAGCACAATCAATAATAATAATCTTCACCGTCGGTTTTATTTGCCCAATCAATAAGCGAGCTTGGATGGTGCCATTTTTATTCGAAATCACCAAGCGATGCTTACCTGTGGTGTTAATAAATCTCGTGGCTTTCTGTTTGAACTAGAAACCAGATTTATCCATTACCAATGCTGGGTTTCTTCGATCAATTCGGTGCAATCTGAAACCGAAAAACGGTGCATAAATATTGATGCTAAAAACCAGACTATTTTTTGATTTTTTCGGATGGAAAACGGAACAACCGGGGTTTTGGGGCACGTGCCATAACAATGCCTTTACCACCTGCTTGAAACTCAATTACAAAAACAATCAATCCGAAACAATCTAAGCAATCTTTTCCTTCACACTCTTCCACCGCTTAAATACCATACTTCACATCTATTTGCATAGTGACTATTGTCCGAAGAAGTCCGTGTTCACTCATTGTGACTCAAACAGGCGCAGCTTTTTAACGATCGAAAAAGAAAAAACATCGACCGGACGTCCAGTGTTTAAGCTACAATTTACTGGGCAAATATGCGGGCAAAAGCCACGTTTGCGATGGGTTTCCTAATATTTATATGGTTTCTTGAATTACAGGATGAACTGATTTTTCTGTACATTTTTGGTCAGTAGATGGCATTTTTGGGAAAAATTCAAATCGCGTTGAAAAGTTTAAACAATGCATGATTTTTCCAAAAAAGTAATAGGAAGCAACGAATTTGTTAAAAAACACGGTAGAAGCTTCAGATTATACCTTATCGGTCAATGCTAAGTGGTTTTTCGCGCTTTTAATATTTAACCGACAACTTTCAAACACTTTAATGGGTAGATTGGGAATCTTCTTAGCTCGCAAACAATCCCTTGAACTGGAAAAACATACGAATGTAAAGTTTTGATTTTTGACTGAAAATTTCCTACCGGTAGAGGTAAATTTTTTGAAAAAATAGTTAATATCTATAAATGCATTGAATTCCACAAGGAAGACACATTTTTCAAGGAAGTGAGAAATGCAATGGACGGGTTGAAAAACACGCTAACGTGTCAGATTCAAAAACCTACATTTTCAGCCTTTTTTGAACAGTTTTCCAGCTTTCGAAATCTTTAATTGACGATGTTTTACTTATAATCGACTAGAATACTTTTTATGTGTACAATGGGGAACATGCATGTGAATGTGATTTCTGACCGAAAATTTCCAAACCGGCGAGGTCGATTTCTTGAAAAAATATAAATTCTCTCGAAATGCATTCAATTCCACATCATTTTAATCTTACCGAAGCGGAAAACCGTGCGTTAACGAACTTTGTCCGTCAGTATTTTGCTTATTCCAGACTAAACCTTTTATACCGGCATACCGGCAATGTGAAATTTTTATTATTAAGGATGGAGGTAGATTTTTGAAAAATATTAACTATCTCAAAATGCCCTGAATTCCATTTTATTTTCATCTAAAGGAAGCGAGAAATGCAACGAGCTAATTGAAAAATAAACTATAAGTTTAAGATTCGCAAAAATCGACATGTTTACACACTTGAAATATGCATATTGGGGAGTTTCTTGTGTCGAATGCAATCGATTGAGCGCAAAAAGCACGAATGCGAAATATTTATTTTTGAACCAAAATATCATAAGGACGGGAGTCAAAAAATTTCAATTATCTCAAAATACCCCAACTTCTACATCATTTTCACCTCAAGCAAGTGAGAAATGCAATGGACTGATTGAAAAACACTTCAGGTTCAAAAAACTTACATTTTACGCCGTTTTGAACGGTGTTTCACCATTCAAAATTTTTAATTGCAGATGTTTTACTATTAATCGACTAGAATACTTTTTATGTGTACATTGGGTGGTTTCTTAGGTCGCAAACAATCTATTGAAGTCGAAAAACATGTATGTAAAATTTTGATTCTTGACCGAAAATTTCCTAAGCCGAGAAGTCGATTTTTTCTTAAATATAAATTATCTCAAAATGCCTTGAATTCCACATCATTTTAATCTTGCCGAAGCGGAAAATGCAACGAGCTCGTTGAAAATCACGCTAGAAACTTCAGATAAAAAAAACGAAATTTTGGCATTTTTTGAACGGTCTCTGTGCGTTAACGAACGTTAACTGACGATATTTTCCTTATTATGGACTAAAAGAATTTATTTGTGCATATTGGCGAGTTTCTTACGGCGAATGCAATCGCTTGAGCCCAAAAAGCGCGAATGTGAAACTTATTTTTGACTGAATATTTCCTAAGGGTGGAGGTAGATTTGTGAAAAATATCAGCTATCTCAAAATGCCTCGAAGTGCACTTTATTTTCATCTCAAAGAAGCGAGAAATGCAATGAACTAGTTAAACAATACACTGGAATTCAGATTCGCAAAAATCAATATTTTTGCCCATTTTGAAAAAGTTTTTGAGCGTTTACAAACTCAGCCGACGATATTTTTCTTATTATACGCTAAAAGACTTCAAATATGCATATTGGGGAGTTTCTTACGTCGAATGCATTCGATTGAGTGCAAAAAATACGCATGTGAAATTTTTCTTTTTGAATTCAAATTTAATAATGGCGGAGTAAAAAAATTTCAATTCTTTCAAAATGCCAGCTAGACAAGCTAGACCATTTATATTTAAGCATTTTTTCAGCATTCAAAATATTTAATCGACGATGTTTTACTTATAATCGACTAGAATACTTTATATGTGCATATTAGACGTGCCGTGCGTTTCTTATACCGAAAGCATTCCATTGCGCCCGATAAAACTGCATGTAAAATTTTCATTTTTGCCCGAAAATTTCATTAGGGTTGGAGGCCGATTTTTTGAAGCAATGTCAATTCACTTAAAACTTTTCGAAGTCATTTTTATTCCACTTCGGGAAATGTAACGAACTCATTGGAAAATCCGCTAAAAGCTTGCAATCCATATTTTTGGTCTTTTTTAATCGGTTTTGGGACATTTACGATCTTTAACCGACGATATTTTCCTTATCATAGACTCAAACATTTTAGATATGCATATTGGGGAGCTTCCTAGGTAGATCGCAAGCCATCTACCAAACTCGAAAAACACGCATGTGAAATTTTTGAATTTTTATCGAAAATTTCTTAAGAGATTAAAGCCAATTAAAAAAAAAGTAGTTTCTTAAATGCCTCAAATTTCTATATCCAGTTTATCACAAAGAAGCGAGGAATGCAACCAGCTCTTAAAAAACGCTTCGAGATCCGAGAAATCGAACATTTCCACTTTTGAGCCATTTTTGAGCGCCTTCGATCGAGCACGATCTCTCACTTATACCCGTATTACATACTCTATCACTTGCATATTGAGAGCGAAAAGATGCCGTCGAGCTGAAAACCCCAAATGTGAAAGTGCGATTTTTGATGGAAAAGTTATCCCTTCGGTCTCATTTCCATTTTCTTTGTCGCTCAGTTAAATAACCTACAATTAGTGAAAATCGGTAATTGTAAAACAGGCTTTACATTTTAAGCAGTTTGTTGTAATCTTTAATGATGATAATTATTTACTTTGGCCGTAAACGTACGAACATAAATCCTTGTACGCTAATCTGGAATTATTTCAGCTCTAATCGGGCAACTTGCGTGAAGCTTTCTAATGGCTCGGAACCGACTAGCTAAAAGAAAATGTTGTTGCTCGGTGCTCTTATCTAGAAGGTCCAGCCCAAGAGAAGAACCACACGCATACAATTAAAAATTTTTCGGCAATGAGTCATTAGCAGAAATAGACTGAAATTGAATGAACCGCCTTTGACTGACCCTGACATTGCTGCAGCGACATTGTGAGTTTTTCGAACAGGATGCGGAACCTGCGAACCGAAAAACGCCGCTTAAATAATCGCAAAGACTTCATTCCTTTCTTTGCGTAACTTTAATTAATTCAGCTGCTAGACCTGCAAATTCATATTATCCGTATCAAAAGAAAGTGAATTATATGGAACCAGCAAAATTGGTTATGAGGTAATTTTTGGCCTGGTTTAAGCATTAAGGTTTTTAGTGGCTTGATCGAAAAACTCCGAAAAAAGTTGAGCCTGATCCTTGGCAAAGAAAGTTGACGTTAGTTAAAGCAGGATTTGTTGGCATTTGCTTCCAATGTCCGTAACTTCTAAAATATGGCGAACCATTTTAGCGCATATAAAAGATAAATTAGTGTTAATTTTCCGAAAAATTTGAGTAAATTTCTGAAAACTTTTTCAGAGAGCTTCTAGAGGTAAAGCGGTCGCTTCAACGCTGCTTGAGCCCTTGCTTAGGGAGGTCGTAATGTCGCAAATAAGGTGACAAGTCACTTCAAAGTTTTATAGAATATAGAAGATCTTTGAATGGGAAGCACTTGACTCACATCCTCGATTGTTGTGACTTTTCACAAATATCCAGTTATCGACGCAAATTGATGGTTTCCACACATCTACAATTGCTTCTCTTTCCAACATTCGTAACTTTCCAAATAGGACGCAAAATCATTTACAAGTTTCACAGCATATAGAGCATTATGAATGTTAGAGCCATGAAAACTTCAATAACAATTATTCAGTCCAGCAGCACTAAACTTTCCACACATTTTCAAGCCTTGTAACTTCTCGTTCAAACTGGCGTATTCTAAATAAATTTATTTTTCGAAATCGATGTTTATCAAATCCACTTAAAGAATATTTCAGTCAATTCTACGGCAACCTAGAATTGGGCGAATGCTTTGCTTGATATGAAAGTAGCAGATTGCGGAGATGATCAAATTAACATTCAAGCCTATTGGAAATTAGTGGCAAACTTTAATTAGCGCTTGTGAATTCTAAGTAGTTAAGTGATTTGTTCAACTAATAATCGCCAGACTTTGCAGCCACTTTCTTCTCCAACATTCGTCCACTTGGAGCAATAATGTGGTAACGTACACTATCGATTTCACACTTTAAGACGCTTTTTTTTAAATAAACATTCTTGGACGTGAGCATACGACTAATTGCATAAAGACTTATATTGATTAGGAAATGGCCATTTTGAGTAATATTGGCGCGCTTACTTTTTCTCGGTGACTTTCACAGATTATTAGCTCGAGTGAATTGGCAAATCGCTTTTGTTTTTCACATCTGTGCTCGAATTAATGCAGGAAGGATTTCAGTGTCTTATTTTATCATTAGTGCACCAGTAGAAATTCGAATTAAATTCAACTCGTGAAGGGAATGAAGAATTATTCAATTATTTTTTGCGTTAATTTCCATTATAACTTGCCTGCTATCAACCAAATCACCAATTAGAGATATTCATCTGAAATATCGATTTTTACCCTTTATATGCTGGCTGATTAATGCTCATTTCAGGCAACGCTGCTAATTAAAATTATTACTCATATTTCGATCAGAGATCGAAGATATCGATTGGTTATTGCTCAAAGTAGCCTTGAGTGCGGAATGGCCTTATTGGGGTTTTAACACTGCAAAGCTTTATTGACTGGTAAGGTTAGCAAGTGAAAAAAAGGAAATTTTTATAAATTCACCTAACAATAGACTGTGGTTATCTAGGAAATTGCTAAAAACCATTGATTTTTTGTCGAGAAGTGATAAATGTGATGAATGCCAGGCATTGTTCTACTGCAATTGTTCTAAGATAATTGTTAAGTAAGCGTCTAAGTGAGTAATTAGAGGGAGTGATAAAGTCGTTAAATACCAAATTTACGTAAAAATCTAGAAACTTGCAAAAGCCGTAAATTAAAAAAAAAATTAAATTTTCATACTTTCAAAAAATATCACCAAAAAACTACTTCAAAAACACTTTGAGTTTGGCAGTTTCTCCAATTTTCGCATTGTTTTCTGTTAATTCTAATTACACCACTCATAAAAACTCATAGAACAATTTTATCAGCAACAATATCAAAATTAAAAAAAAAATGAAAAAACTAACCAGCAAATCAGCCGACAAAAGCCCTAATCCAAATGGTAATAAAATCCACAATTCCAGTCAATTTCGCGGCCAATAAGCACAAAGCACTGAAAAAGCACACAAAGTCGGTTTCAGTTTTTTTTCTAACGATCGATTCGCCACTTGTCTGTATTCACTAGCGGACTGAACGAACCACAGGTAACCCGGGTTCACCTGTTCGAATATGAGGTGGGGCGTGCTGAAGAGAATACCATTTTACCTACCCAGCATACTCAATGTGTGCACCATGGACCGTGTTGATGGTGAGCCGAGTTTTCGACTTTCCTTGGTTTTTTTTTTGAGCAACAAACCTTTTTCCCTTCAAATTTACTTTGAATCGTTGGCAGACTAATGTAGGGAGAACTGTTTGCTTTGTTGCATTTTCATTGTCGATAAACAGACATTTTCTTCGTTTGGATCTTTTCCAGAGGGGTTTGATGGTTTTGAATAACCGGGAATTTTTCGACTTTCCCTCTTTTGAAGAATAACATCCTTCGTCTTCTACACCGCTGAATAAAATCATCCACCGAAAGGTTTTCCATTCAAAATTTCAGGATTTTGGCGCATTAAACGGGCAACTTATAATTGCTAATTTAAAAAATGTCCGTATTTCGCCCAGGATGAAAAGGTGATTAATCTTAAATAAAACTAACCATTACTGGAAAGCGAACGAATGTTCATCATTAGCTCGATGTTGACCTCAAGTACCATTTTTTCCATTGGGTTTTTTTTCTAATTAGCACTTCATCGATTATACCGTTTCAAGCCGAATTAAGAAATTGCGATGTTTTCTAGCTGAGAATTTTCAAAACTTTTCCGCGTTGGTATTTTCCGTGCAGACACCTTCGCATCATGCAAATGACCGCATATTATCAAGTGATAAATGCACTTTCACTTTTTCCCATTGCATCGGCAACTATTGATACCAGAAGAGTGACATTTTTCATTTTCATGCGCTGATCGTTTCGTGTCAAGCCACCATTGAGATCGGGCGAAGAGGAAAAAACAAACGCAACAAATTACCATCATCTAGTAGAAAATGGTTTATTCAATCTCCCATCTGGTGTTATTAAACGAAGAGTGCAAGAACACGCTTACCACTGCATGCTTCCTTGCGTTCCACATCTATTATACAATTACTCTTCCTTTCCTGAATGTAATCCTTTATGGTCTGTTGGTTTTCGGATTCTGGTACCTAATGGAGCAAATTAGATAAGAAAAAAATTACTCAAAATTGAACTTTATAAGCTGGCTAATGTGGTCATCACCCTGCACAATTTGGACTAATCGTGTAAGCAACGCAAATGTTGTATTAACCATTTCACATTACTTGCTGTTTCTGGTGCCTACTTGTGGGTAAATTGAAACTAAATTACCATTAACTTGTTAAATCAATGTTGAATTTTAATTTGACCAGCAGAACTAAATAAACTTCAATTAAACATTACTTAAAGTACAATTAGAAATTTATCAGCATAATATAATGTAAAGTGTACTTGCCTGAAATTACAAGATAACATTACATGGGAGTCTCTCAAGCGATCGGATGATTAATGAACTCTTCGACATTTCAATTGCGTTCAAAAGTCCACATACATCCATGACTTTGATGATGATCGTTGCATAATGTTCAAATGGCATTTAATGAAGTGCAGGCACTTCCTCAATTGAATAAAAATTCGTGTGGTTTCTTCGCTTTTATATGGAAATTGATCAATGTTGAATCACCTTGTAGTAAACTACTTAAAATAATGTCATCGAAGTTTTTAAATATTAGCATTCCTCTGGGTGATGTGTATGAATCTAGCGTGACGCTTGCGTGTGAAAATATTTGATTGATCAAAATGTTTTGCAATTGTTTCGCTAAACCTGGTTGAGAAAGCGCGAATATGTGAGAATTTTTTAAATAAATTGGCGTCTCAATTATTGCCATCAGCTGTTCTGAGATTCAAAGGCACTTTCATGTGCAAAACCGCCGACTTTTGGAAAACTCATTTGAGAACTGCAAGCGCTGTGTTTTCTTGTAACATGCACCACACATGGGAAGGTATTGAGATCTTTTGCGCATATTTTCCATCATCTCAAACTTCCGAAGGAACTTACCGATTCTTCATATTTTTAGCAACTACAATATTTTCGGTTAAATGTCGGAAATGCTTTTAAAAAAACTTCCATTCAAAATAGTAGTTTTCGATACAAGGGCGAAGAAGTGTTCCGATCGACGACGGCGTTTGACCGTCAGGAGTCCGAGAGTCAGGAGTTCGAAAAACGGATTTTCGCCCTCGTGTCGAACAATATTTTTTATTCAAATAAATGACATAACACGAATCATAAGTTATAATAAATAAAAGTAGCCAAAAATAAAAGACGTCAACTTCATATTTAAAATTTGATGTCAATGCCATTTTTGAAATTGTCATGTTTTGGCGTTTGTTATTTAAAAAAAGCGTACTTTTGTAAGCAAATAAAAGTGAAACAGTGAGTTGAAAATGCAAGTGTTTCTTTCAAGGCTCCAGTGTTTGTATAAGTTGCATATTTTGCATGAAATAAAAATGATTTTTTATTCGAATGAATCTAAAACTGCCATTTTTCGATCAGAAGCGATGATGCAGTTTTCTTTACTGTTCATTTGTTTTACTTTTACTCACGGATTTTTATGCACATGTGCGCAAAAGTAAATGTGACAAATTGAATCTGTCAATGTCATTATATTTTTTGAAGTATTTTTATTAAAAAGTAACCGATATTCTGTTTTAATTAATTACGTAGGTTTATTGAAAACTGTTAATTATAATTTAAAGTTTACTTACAATTTCTAAATTATAACTTTGTTACAAGTTGAGCCTCAAAGTCGTTCAAATGGTCTATTTTTCTGCGCTCGCCGATGTTGCCACAAGCAAAACACGATTTTTTTAAAGATCGCAAATTTTATGCAAAATATGCACCTTATAAATACATACCCTTGAACCTTGAAAGCAGCACTTGAATTTTCAACATTGTATATGCTTACAAAAGTACGCTTTTGTAAAATTACAAACGTCAAAACGTGACTATTTAAAAAATGGCATTGACATTGACAAATGTTAAATATTCCGTTGACGGCTTTATTTTTGGCTATTTTTATTTATTATAACTTATAATTCGTGTTATGTTTTTCATTCGAATAAAAAATGTTGCTCGATACGAGGGCGAAATCCGTTTTTCGAACTCCTGACGGATTGACACCCACGACTATCGTCTGGGGTCGTCCAACACTTCTTTTTGTTTCCCTAGATCGTCATTGGAGGATGACCAGGTCCACTTGACATCGACCCTCGCCACATGTCCAACCCATCTTCACTTATTCCGTGCCACTATTTCCATGACTCATGAGATTCCCGTCCTTCTCCTGATCTCATCGTTCCTTATTCTGTCCCTAAGGCCTAGTATCCAGAATTGAACGTTTGATGGCTCTCTGACACACTCTCAGGCGATTGGCACTTTTTTGTGTGAAAGTCATAGTCTCAAGGCCCTACGTCATGACCGGTAGAATACATTTCTCGAACACCTTAGTCCGCTTTAGATTAACTGCAGTTTTAAAATTTCTTAGGATGTGAGAGAGGTTACCTTACTTTRCCCAGGTGAGGCGCATCATTCTTGCAATATCCATCGTTTGGTTTTCACTCCCGAACTATTTTTGTTCAGTCACTGTTTTAATATTAATGTTTTCTAGGATGGCCTGGGTGTTATAAGAACTGAAGATCTTGGCTTTACCTAAGTTTATCTGAAGCCCCACTGCTTGTGATGCTTCTGTTAGCTCGTTTAACATGTTGGTGAGCAAGTACCTTCCGTCAAGGTTAATACCTTTTAACTCCCAATTCAAGGTCTTGAAAACTCCTTCCAAAGCCAAGGTGAAAACTTTTGGGGATCTTATTGGAGATTTAGGACCCTAGCCTTATCCGATTCATTTAGTACTGCCCATTCTTCTACCGAGTCAATACCTTTTGATAGTCGCCGAGCCCAAGGTGAAGAGGGACAATGTATTCCTTACATTTCTCCATCAGTGTCCGGACAGTCTGGATATGGTCGGTGGTCCTAAATACTTTTCCGAATCCCACTTGATCTATGGATTGCTAAAAGTCTAGTTTTTTACTCAAGCGTCTGGTCAGAATCTTGCTAAATACCTTGCCGATGTTTCTACAGTCTCCTTTCTTTAATAGGATTTTGACCTCGGCGTTTCTCTATGCTTGTGGGATGCGGCCCTCCTCCAGACACTYATTGAACAGGATGAGAATTGCTTTTTTCAGTGTTGCTCYTCSTTCTTTCAGCATTTCTGCTGTAATGCGATCTTATCCTGGAGCCTTGCGGTTGTCCATAGATCTCACTGCCTGCTCTAGTTGGGATGKGTCGATCTCCGGTATTTCTTCCGATCCCGCWTTTAGAATTTGTACTCTGTTAWCTCTCTGGTAACCTGTGTCTGTAATTTCCTGTCTGTAGAGCTTTCGGTAGAWGCTTTGAATGTTGGTCACGATCTCCTACTCTTCATACACTACTGTTCCTTTCCTTGTTTATTTCTCACTTTTCGCATGGTCTGTTTTCCCCTTGTCATACTCGATCTCAATTCCTTCATGTTCACTCCTCCACACTCCAAATCAATTGCTCCGGTGTGTATCGTATATTTTTTGATTTAAGACATCGATAGTGTTCAATCAATGTAGAGTGAAATCTCTCGACTGGTGAATTAGAATTACTGTTTTTTGATGTTCCGTAGTGCAATTCGATTTTGTATAATTTACAGAAGTTTTCTAGTCTTTATTTTTCAATTCTGATCCTTGGTCATACGTGATTTTTAACGGTAGTCCGTGGTTGGTAACGAAATTTAACAGGTTTTCTACTACTGACGTCCCTGTTAGAGTCTTCAAAAGGTAAGCTTGACCGTAGCTTGAAAATGCGTCAATAATGGTGAGAAATGCTTCTTTTTCAATCCTATAAGTGTCAGCTGTTTACTTACAACTGTTCAAAAGCGTGAATTTGTTCGAACGGCCTAGATGTTGTAGGTGTTAACTTAAATTTAATTATGGGGGGATTAGAATCGTATTTGTTTTTCTGACATATTTCGCATGAGTTCACGAACTGTTCGATATCGTGGATCATTTTGGGCCAATAGAATCTTAGAGTTAAGGAAACCATTATC